AGCTCATTTTTAAGACAATCACAAAAACAAAACTTTCATCCTCTAGACCACATGAAGTATTTAGACATAGATTAAAGTCTCTAGTTTCCATATCTTGTTCAGTTGTTTGCAGCATTTGGCCAAAGTTGAAAAACGATTAAAGGGCCAAAGCTAATAATTTGTCGATGTTGGTCACAGAAAAACCACCAGCCATGAAGTGAGGTATCTTGCAATTGATATCACTTGCATATCAGTTAAGATTTCTTTTGAACTGCGACGAACTTTGTTTAAAACTTCAACTTTTAACTATTTGGCCAATTCAACAATTGAACGAACACGAGCTCTTTCACAAACTCAACTTAAATGTTGAATATATATTTTTTTGTTTGTGGTACAAATTTTGACTTAATCAAAATAAATTTAAAAAATAATTCAACAACAAAAGAACTCAAAATATTGACAAATAATTAGACAAACAAGCTCAAACACAAATTTTTCCTCGACGATAATCAAACACGTGTTCGAGATGCTGAGTTCGACGATAATCAAACACGTGTTCGAGATGCTGAGTTCAACTTGCTTAGTTTGATTTACAATTCTTCCATATACAAAACACAATGTAAAAACCAAAAAAAAAACATTCAAATTACAACATAAAATAAATAGAAAGCGTTTGGTAGGGGTGAGCATCGGTGCAATTCGGTCAAAAACTGCACCGCACCGAAAAAAAGCAAAAATCGAACTTATAAAATTTTTTCACCGAACCGCACCACAATAAAAGGAAAAACCGAACCGCACCGAACCGAAAATTTCAATTCGATGCGGTTCGATTTTTCAGTTAACCGAAATTTAAAAAGATAAGCACCAAAGATGATAATTTATTAAAAAAAAAAAAAAGTGACATTTTATGACATTCGGTGCGGTTCGGTCAAAACCGCACCCTTCGGACAAAAAACCGAATCACACCGAGATACTTGCGGTTTTTCAAAACCCAAACCGCACTGATAATCGAACTTACAAAACACCACACCAAATAGCTCGATTCGGTGCAATTTTTCAGTTTCGACTCGGTTTTGCTCACCCTAACGCTTGGTTTGATTTTCCATATAAAACCCAAAATGCAAACACTCGCATAAGTTTCAAAATTACAACATAAATATGAGAGATATAATAAGTGGAATCTTAGGCCTCCAACAAGTGAATGGAATGTTGGCTAAGGTCAGACATAGCCACGGGCCAAACCAGCACGTGGCCCGACCAGCGAACCAGCCCAACCCGGCCCAAAACCGACCTCCTAAGGGCCGGTTCGTTGAACCAGAACCGTAGGGCCGCGGTTCGGTCCCGGTTCTATTTTTTTATTTTTGTCTCGCCAGGCCGGGCCGGGCCAGGCCAAAATCTTTGTTTTTCTCAAGGGCCGAAACAGCCCATGAACCACCAGGGCGGTTCTATTTTGGTTCTTAGCGGGCCAGTCACAGTCCAGGTGTTGGAGGGCCCATGGCCCGGCGGGCCAGGACGGGGCTTGGCCCAGCACACCTGTTCACGTCTAGCTAAGGTACGATAATTCAAAGTTGCACTCACCAAATTTTAGTTTGTTATATATTTAGAAGGTTTGATAGCCTAAAATCACTTGATAAATAAAAAAAATGTTTCGTAACATAGTTAATTACAATTATTTTATATATTTACATCAAAAAACAAATAGACGACTAATAATTTTCATAATTACGTTTTTTTGATTGTTGAAGGCTACACAATTTGCTAATAGTAATGTATTTTGACGTTTGTTTTACAATAAAAAATACAATTCACAAATAATAATGTATTTCTACATCTGTTTAACAATAAAAACTACTAAAGATTATGTCATTTTTCAAAAATTTTGCAAGTTAAAAACACAGTTAAGCGGAGAGTTTTAACATGGGTTCATACGAACATAATTGTTTTTCATTTAAACATAATGAGTTCATAATAGTTTTTATTGAACAACACTTTCCACACACATCAATTAAAAAGAACTGTATTTTTTGAATTTCACATCTTATGAATATGAGTTCATACTCTAAGAATATGAGTTCATACTCTAAAAACTAACTGAGACATAATTGACATTTTTCATACAAACATCAATTTGAAAAAACTACCTTTTCCAAATTTTACATTTCATATGAAGACTCAAGTTTGTTCGTAATAGAAGATTAAGTAGGAATACAGAAGACAAAACCCAGACTACACAAATATATATATGAAGTAAAACAATTGTTAAACAAGTAGATCTTCCATCATATACCAGAGCTAAGGTGATAAAACACTATTAATTACAAACAATACATAGATATTGAGAAAGCCCAAAGCAATGTATTAATTACAAAATAATGTTACCCAATACATTGAAGCACAGCGCCATAGTTCTTAACCGGTGGAGGCTTAAGCAGAGAGGATATTAAAGCAAAATTGTTATACGCACAGATAAAATCTCAGGACTCAAATCAAAAAGTATAATCCCAAGAAGAACTACGTGCGTAGATAGAAAATATACAAACGAATTATTGTTTTAAAATAAAACATAAGGAAATACTATTACAGTACCATCTCGTCCGAAATATTTTAACCGATGAATCCACGTATAGTGAGATAAGATAGATGATGATCAAACAGTCAAAAGAGCGGACCAGATGGTACCGTAACGATATCCGTAACGATATCAGGACAGTAGCATTTCCCACAAACATAATATCATCAGAATAATGTTCATTTTCATTCACAACCTCAATAAGTTGTTGTGTCCAAAGGTGTCCTAAGATTAAATGAAGATATTCATCACTTGAGTTCAACATACAAACTAAAAATAAATTATTAAATAATAAATGATTCAGAAGCAAATTAGCTGCATCACAAAGATCAGTCCAAGTGTTGGAAATAATGAATATAATGCTTCATCATCATCAACACAAAAACCATAATCCTGTAAAAAAAAAGAAAAATATTAAATTTCAATTTGCTCAGTGGTGGCAATTTTTATAATTGGTTCGATTCTGCCAGCAAGCGTCCTCAATAAATCTCAGAAGAGGGAGCTTTTTATCCTCATCGCAAATACAAATTCACACCAAAAAAATAATTCAAATCATGCCAATTGCAAATGCATATTAATAAATTCGAGATTTATAACCGATAGATCATAATGTTACATGTAACGGACCATAGAATCTACAAATAATAAATTGCTCAGCTCAGCGGGGTTATCGACATGCAAGTAAGCAATAAATTGAAACCTGCAATCCGGTCTGTTGAGCTTGAAATTTCCGAGTCGTCATTGCAATTATTATTATATATATATATGCGCAATAAATTTCATTTACAAAATAGAAATAATTGAATATTTTTGTACAAAAAATCAAAATATTATTATCTGCTCAGGAAAAATGAAACTATATTCTCATAGATCTTTGGAAAAATCTCTGAAGTCTGACATGTGAATTTTAAGTTCATAAATCATCACAGCAGAAAAAAATAAAATAGAACAAAAATATAAAAAAAAAACAGAAATAATCACAGATTTATGAAACCTGCTCTCATAATTTTCATAACAAAATTTTCTACTCATGCATATAATCGGCATAGCGTATATTGCCTGTAATTAAGGCTGATTATCATAGAGCAGCAGCGATAATTAAACAGCAAAATACAGATAATTAACAGTAAATCGAGGATTTTCAAGAAAATAAAAAATAAATAAATAAATAAATAAATGAAGAGATCAGATATTGGTTAGGGTTATCGGTCACGGTTAATTCAGAAACACGGACCAATTAAATTATTCATCATTTCTCCATATCAATGAGTAAAAAAAAAAAAAAAAATCTAACTATTTCGAATAAAAAAAATATCAGTGAAAATTAAAATGAAATCATCAGAGACTTAAATACAAGGAATCATGGACAATTTGCACATCATATTGTTGCAGTTTTTTTTTTTTTCTCATCAAATGACTTCATTTAAGCAAAAAAAAATAAAATAAAAATTTTGTGAAAATAAATAAAAATCAAAGGAGATGAAGAGAGAAGAACAGAGGAGATGTAATCTGAGTGAGAAGAGCTGCCGCTATAGATGATGACAACTTCAGTATATATAACAGACCATATTACTTCAGAAACCCTAAGTTTGGCGGCGGGCCACGAAGCTGGGTTTTGAAAATTTCCACTCCTTTAATCCATGGGAGTGTAAATGGGCTGTTTGGCCTTTGTTTCGGGTTTTAGCTTTGGGGCCCATCTAAATTGGGCAGCCACTGGAATTTATTTGGATCAAAATGTAGACTTTCCAATTTTGAAGTGGGTTTGTATTTGGAGTGGATATTGGTATATGAATCACAATGGAACAATTTGCCCAATCGGTATGGATCAAGTTAGATTTTACCCCATTACATTTATCGAGTTTTTTTATTGTTGGATTGTACATCATCCGTGTACGGGTATGTGTGTGCGCGCTTGTTGATCAAATGGTGAAAAACTTATTGATTGCATTAGAGTCGAAACTTTCAAATTTCGCCGAGAATGAGCAAATATATGAATCAATTGACTATATTAGACTTGTTAAACAAAACGAGGTGCATGTGGTTTGCTTCGACTCAGCTCGGTGAATTTCAAGCTCATTTAGTTATCGAGTCGAGTTATATTTGTTAAGATTTGTTGGACTTGACAAATACAAGTTTTTTTTTGAGTAATTCTCTCTTCTTCTTTTTTTTTTTACCATAAATCGACTTATTAAGACTCGATCTCGATCTATTTAAGCTCAAATCGTTATCAAATGATCATGAACCTTCCAATCATGCAAATCACAGCGCCATGATTTCTCTTCACTCCAAACAAATAATAATATCTTATTACCAAATAAATTGAAATGAAAATGCCCAATCTCATATCCTCACATCAATATTCCTTCCCCAAACCCAATATTCATTTTATTTTACCTCAATCATACAAGTTTATTTTATTTTAATCATACAAGTTTATACTAATTAAACCTAATTAGACGAATTCCGCGCCCCATTTACCCGGGCAAAAGGTCACCACGTACTCGTCTGACCAGCAACTCGCCAGCGTGCCCTGGCTGTCGTACGCGTAGCTGACGTATCTCGGGCACGCGTCCTTGAACACCTTTGAGTATGCGGAGGGCCCACACTTGTCCGGGCTCCCGTACTCGTTTCTGCAGCAGAACATATCATGCCCGAATGCGAGACACGCGCTTTTACAAGCCACAACATCACCCGAGCGATCGTAAACCGAGAGCTCCCTTGGGCACGCGACCTTTAGGTCTCGTCTGCAACTCAGAATCGTGCATTTCGGGTCTAAGCCCTTCGACGAGACCTGGACTGGCAGGTTGTACCCGTCCACCAGGCTCACATCGTAAAAGCTCGGTTTTTGCTTGTCGGCTTGTATTGTGAACTCGACCAGCGTAGCTGGGGGGTTCCCGATGAGCCCTTCACACTCGAGTTGGTTACCGCAGTCTCCTGTCTCGCACGCGGGCCCGGGGTTTGTGGCTAGGCCGAATGTGCAGCCTGTTCGGGCCCATATTCGACCCGACCAATCGCCCGGAGCTCGAAACATTTTGGTCTGCCCGGACGGGAGGTGGAAACCGCCGTCGGCAAGGACCGGGTGACCCTGGTTAGGGGCGGTGGCCGGCCATATGGAGAACGGGCACTTGTTGGTCACGTAAAATGTGCAAGTTTGGACTCCAAAGTTCCCTACCAAAAAATTGATTCAATCAGATGCACTTCAATTTTGACCCACAAAATTAAATGTGCGGATTTGTATGAATGGAATTTATAAATAATTGTTTAGTTTGTGCAACATTATTAAGTACCTGATGAGAGCAAAACAAGGGTGATAAAGCACGCTAGAAATTTCACCATGGATGACATTTTGGTTTGAATTTAAGGTGCGTAATTTTGTCTGCAATTCTACATACATACACACACACACACACACACACACACACACACACACATATATATATATATATATATATATATATATATATATATATATACCAATTGAAATATTTTAAATTATCCAATATATTTGATTCTAAGTCAAGTTTGAAGATTGAAAGCTTTAAGAAAAAGAAAAAAACTGGTGAAAAAATGACATGAAAGAGGCAGGTTTATTGAATCATTAATCTCTGCTAATCAGTGGCTTACAGGTGATAAGGAAGAAGGACACGCATTAGGTAACTGATAATGGACAGTTTTGCGGAACTTGAAATAAGTAGGGCTAGGTACGGTTTGGATACTCGAGTTTTTTTGAAGTATTTGCTAACCGAACTGAACCGAGCAAATATTCGAACTTGCTAACCGAAACTGAACCGAAAATCTCGGTTAACCGAAAAAATCCTACTATTCGCGAATTAACCGAATCGTACCGAACCGAGCAAACCTAACACAAATCTGCTTACTGGTTTGCAAATAATAAACCGAACTTAGCCTTAATTATTTAGATTAGGTATTTACTAAGTGACTGAGTGTTGATTAGGTATTTACTATTTAGGTTAGTTTAATATATATATAATATATAATATATAATATAATATATATTTTATAAATTTTAATATAATATACGGTTCGGTTCGGTTAACCAGGGTAAAAAAATCCTAAAAACCGTATCCGAACCGAACCGAACAAATACTTCCTTGGAGGTATTTGTAACCGAACCGAGTACCCCGGTTAACCGAAATTCGGTTCGATTTCGATTCGAATCTACGATTCAGCGGTTCGGTTCGAATTTTTTGCCCAGTCCTAAAAATAAGCATAAACCCACGAGAATATTGTAAAGTAAATAAAATTCAATGTAATTATGGTTAATTTCTGTTATATTTTAGTTTTAGGGTATATAATAATTTAATATCCAAATAAATATGTATATGTATATTATTCAAAGTTTTTCATCATTTTGATACCATAATTCAACAAGTATTGACTAGCTTTTTTCTCTTTTTAAATACATATAATTATAACATATTACTTTTTTTTTTTTCTTTTTGACCAAATAATTAGCATAATTATTTGATAAATAACTTCTTATTGGTTACCCATTTTATAGTCATATCATATGGATGGGTATATGGACTAATTGTTTATATCCATTTCTTCATTAATATCCTAACATGAATTTTTCAACCGGTTGATCAAATATACAAAATAAAGTTTTTTTTTTTTTTTTTTTGAATAATTCTTATAAATTCACGATTTATTTTATAGAAAAATAAACATAAATTTTAATTTACATAATATAAATAACTATTATTATTATATATATAATACGCGTGGCATTTTAAAAATCTTCACAAGATAGGACATCAACAATAATAACAGTAATAATTATAATTATAATTATAATAATAATAATGATGAGTATTAGAATGTACTATGTTGTTTCATAGTTCCTTGTAACAACTAGCAACCCCACAATAATATCAATTAATATGGGCTGTCCTATGTGCAACTTTGTTAAATAAAATAGTAAATATTATAAAGAATTGCTTTATTTTTTCGGAGTTTGTTAGTTGAAATGTTGGCTCACACTGTGAATGGTTGATATTAGTGTTAGAAATAATTGAACATTGGTTGGGTTAAAGGTTAAAATGAAAATTAACTTCGTTAAACATTAGTTTGACCTCAATAGGCATGTTTTATATACTTAGTAATAACATAATTGTCACATAACATACTTAGTAATAACATAATGTGGTTACACACATCGCACCAGTTTTAAAATTAGGAATTTATACTATGAGTAATGGTCTCATTTTCACGGTGGACACATGTTAACATGTCCGTTTATGTGGCATGCACACATTAACATTAGCAATGTGGGCATGTCACATAAGCGGTGAGTATATTAACATGTGTCTATCGTGGCTAGATGAACATTATATTTTATACTATTACACATCATTTTATATTATAATGTATATGTACACACTCTTAAAAGAATATACTACAATAGCTCTATTTAGTTTTAGTGTTCACTCACCCAGTGCAACACAACACATACAGTCTTCATGAAGAAAAAAATAATAGTATTAAAAAAACATCGGCATCCGTAAATAATTTTGTCAATTAATTGACGACAGACAAACAGACAATAATATAAAACTGGATAAGGCTCATATATTACTGGGCGTGGTTTTACTTTATAATACCCAACAAGAACCCAACTCCCCAAATTAATTTAACAACCCATATTTATTGGGCCTCACGCTAACTGATCCAAACCCCATATTTCAAATTTGAATCATCCCCTTAATCCCATCACCTTCATTTCGCGCCTCTCTCTCTCTCTCTCTCTCTCTCTCTCTCTCTCTCTCTCTCTCTCTCTCTCTCTCTCTCTCTCTCTCTCTCTGTGTGTGTTTTGACTGCCTCGGCGTCTCCAATTTCTTCAAAAATTCCAATTTGACCAAACGTCTTTAAAGCAGCTATTTACCCATCTCTCACTCATTTCATCAAACACCTTTCATCCTCTGATATTCCCTTTTCTTTTTTTTCCTTCCCCATTTTTTCTATATTCTCGGCCGGATCATGAGCAGAGCTTCAGGCACCGCGCCGGGAACCGACCGGAAAACCGAGCCCCACGGCCTTAGCATCACCAGCAGCCCCAGCATCGGCCTGTGCAGCAGCACGCTGACGGGCTCCGACAACACCAGCGCCGGCACCAGCAAATCGAGCGGCGGCGCTGGCGTGGGCGGCGAGCGGTCGGACGCCAAGCAATTTGCAGACAGCGGGAAGAGCAGCTTGAGCTCGGTTGGCTGCTGCAATGGCGGAGACGACGACCCAAACGAGGCGGGTTTCAGAAGCGTCTGCCTGTCCAAGCCTCACAACGGGAACGATGCGCGGTGGGACGCCATACAGAGCCTGCGGGCCCGGGACGGCGGCGGGTCGGGCCTAGGATTGAGCCAATTCAGGCTCCTGAAGAAATTGGGGTTTGGGGATATCGGGAGTGTGTACCTGGCGGAGCTGAGGGGCACGGGGTGTCTTTTCGCGATGAAGGTGATGGACAAGGGAATGCTGGTGAGTAGGAGGAAAGTGGGACGGGCCCAGATGGAGAGGGATATTTTGGGCTTGTTGGATCATCCCTTTCTGCCGACCCTGTACTCCCATTTCGAGACCGAGAAGTTTTCGTGCTTGCTCATGGAATTTTGCAGTGGTGGAGACCTGCACTTGCTCAGGCAGCGCCAGCCGGCCAAGCATTTTCCGGAGCAAGCGGCAAGGTAAATCGGTAAAATTGGTTTTATTGTGGTAACTGTTAAATTTTAATTGACTATTGCAATGGTGCTGTTGTTGAAATCTTCGAAAGGAATGGTAAATAGGAAAGTCTGATGATGGTAGAAACAAATACAGGTTAAGTAAATGAAGGTTTGGATTTGTGATGATGGTAATTGGTATTCCTTTCTTGATCAGTTCTTTGTGTTGATCTAGTAGTTTATGCAGTTAAAAGTTTTAATCTTTTGCCAATATAAAAGTTTTTATCTGTTTTTCTTGATTCGACAGGTTCTACGCTTCAGAAGTGCTCCTTGCGCTCGAGTACTTACACATGATGGGTGTTGTTTACAGAGACCTAAAACCCGAAAATGCTCTAGTTAGAGATGATGGTCACATTATGCTCTCCGATTTCGATTTGTCCTTAAGATGCTACGTAAATCCCACTCTCGTCGCTTCTAATAACACCCCATCTTGTACAAATTCATCATATTGCATTCAACCCCTGTGCATCGACCCAGCATGTAAAATCGAGCCTGCCTGTTTCCAGCCCACTTGCTTCAAACCCCGAATTTTCAATTCCAGATCGAAGCCCACAAAAGCCAAAAAAACCCAACGAGCAAATCTAACAATCGGCCTGGATTCTCGTCCTGTTCTAGTTGCCGAGCCCACTGGAGCTCGCTCAATGTCATTTGTTGGGACCCACGAATATTTAGCTCCTGAGATTATCAAAGGGGAGGGCCACGGCAGTTCAGTCGACTGGTGGACTTTCGGCATTTTCTTGTACGAGTTGCTTCACGGGAAGACACCGTTTAAAGGTAATGGCAATCGAGAGACTTTGTTTAATGTAGTCGGGCAGCCGTTGAAATTTTCCGAGGGCCCCACGATTAGTTTCGCCGCCAAGGATCTGATTCGAGGTCTTCTTGCAAAAGACCCTCAGAAGAGGTTAGGATTTAAGAGTGGGGCTACGGAGATAAAGAAGCACCCGTTTTTCGAGAGCGTGAATTGGGCTCTCATTCGAAGCGCGGTTCCACCTCACATTCCCGAGCCAGTGGATATCGAGTCTCTCCCGTCTAACCACAAGAGGGCCAATAGCTCGTCCGGCCCGTACTTGGATTTCGAATTTTTCTGAACGAATCCATTGTGTTTGTGTGTTGTATTGGCATAATAGCATCCATGAGCCAGCTAAATTTTCAATTTTTTTTTTTTATTTAATTATATTTTTTTACAAAATCTTTTCCATTCAATCTGCTTATTGTTATTAAATATTACTAGTATTAGTAGTAGTAGTATTTTTTCTTTCTCTCTTTTGCCTACCTGCCCACTTTTAATTGTGTAGTTGGTTTCATATGAAAAGGCCCTGCTTTTTTCTATAGAGGCCTGATATCTATCTGACTAAAATGGTCTCCAGTTTTGTAATTATTTGCTGAGTTGAACAAAAAAAAAAAATAAAAAAAAAAATAATAAAAATAAAAGAAAACAGGGGAAAAAGAGAAGAAAGAAAGAGAAAGCATGCCATGCCTTGTTAAGGTCATCATGAATTTGAATGAAAAAATTGTTATCTTGAGAGGTAGCTCTCATTAGATGCTTATAAACATAAAATTTGTCAGCCTCCTCATGAATCTTGGTCATTTTTCTTTTTCAGTTATACAAATCTGATTGTTCAATTATACTCATTTAACAAATATGTATTTTTTCATACATACATAAGTGATAACTAAAAACTCTCGTAAAGTCTCGAGTTCGAATTTTTGTGGATGCAGAAAACTCTTGTTCGGAGACTTACCCACCACTGTCAGGTGTGCGACCTGGGTCAACCAACGGACTAGTCGGGGCATAGCTCCGAGATACCGTGGCTGACTACCAAAACAAAAAGAAACTCTCATATATAAATGTATGCCATTCTCAATGTAATGATGCATATTTGTTGAATATTTATGACCATCTAACTATTGATTGTCTTGTACAATAATTTGTGTCTTTTATTTATTCTTTTTCACCTTCTTTTTCTCCCTTTTCTCATTACACTCTCATGACTTTTTTCCTGCAATTTTAACTGTTTTTCTCAAGAATCTAACAGACTCTTCAGGAAAATCTTGCTTGCTTTATCTTTTTATTCCTAAAAAGGCAAATTGATTTAGACAAATGATAATCCCATTTAAATGCAGATTGAAACATGTGTCCATGTCAATCGGCCTTTTTTCCTTGCTGTGATCTTTGGGGAATCTGTTCACCTGAATGAGTCCACTGATGTTTTTGTTCTTTGTTTTTTACATGATTTTTAAGTACTACTTCTTATTTTTAATATATGTCGTTTTGAGAAGTTGCACATTAATTAAGAATATTTTTTTTTGTCAATAATAACCTTATTTAATGAAGATATAGATGAATGTTTTGAGAAAAAGTGAAGAGTGAATATGAAAAGACGTAATGTATTTATTGGTTAAATGAAGGTAATAATGAAAAAATATGTACAAAAGATCAAAAACGACATTAATTTGTCAAATAGTTGATAAAGCTAGAATGAAATTTAAAAAGAATAGGAGGGAGTATTATTTAAGTAGTCAAATTATGTTTGTATCAAATTAATTGTGGTACTTGTCTCTATAATTATATTTTCTAATCGTGTCGTGATGTTGTTTATCAAATTAATTGTAGTATTTGTCTCTATAATTGTATTTTCTAATTGTGTCATGACGTGTTTGTATTTCGTAATGTGTTAATTACTTTCGCTTCCGGTTTATGTTAGTGGAATATTAAATAAAATTGAATATTGCAAAATGAGTAGAATAAAAGTACAATAACTAAACTTAATATAATCTAAAATATAGTATTAATTGATTGTTAAAAGATAAATAGTTACAAATATGTGAGTTGTTTATTTTTTTTTAAAGCTATAGTAAATTGGGCATTTATCATGTAATTTTGTTAATGCAAATCAAGGAAATAAATAGCTCGCTAAAGTTGCCGCTATTTGAGAAATAACTTTTTTTGGCAGCGTGCCGCTATTTGTATTCATGTGCAATTTAGCCGCTAAATCCCGCTAAATCTTCGCTATAGCTCTGCTATAGATACAATGCCATAAACGTTTTAGCCCGCAATTTAAAACCTTGATGCAAATGCACAAAAGAAAATTAAGGTTTCGTTTGTAATTTTAAGATAGATATTTTTTTGTTACTACAAAAATAAAATATTTTTTCTATAGCCCAAATAAGATTGAAGTACAAGCTTAAAATAAGGAAGCTCATGTCAATAGCCAGAGTTCAATTCATGTCTTCATACTTCTGGTATATTGAATGGGCCATTCTTGTTGTATCCAAGTTATCTGAAACCATGTGGCCCATATAAAACTGGAGGCAGCCCAAATTGATATCAAACCCAGTTTGGAAAATTTTCATATTCAGTTGCCACCTAATATAACTTTTTTTTTTTTTTTTCCCCAAACTAATTTATTAAAATACTCAAGTATTTTTTTTATTTTTATTTTCAATATATGCATAATTATGAAGATGGGGAATCAAATGTAAGTCTTAACATGCATTGCATTACTATTTTGACTGGGTAGAGTCCTATTGTTGATTTATTGATTATTCTATTGAATAAACAAATGCAAGAATTGTTGATTTAGGCCAAAGTAGACTTTAATTAATCATTTTAATTAGGCTAACCCCATATAGAATAATTATACATTGATCTGCAAATCTGTTCAAAATATTATCATTGGCCAACTTCTCAAAAAGTTATTGAATAATTTAAATATCTTTATTTATTTTTTTTTAATTTACTAAATATACTATCAACATTCAAAAAAAAAAAAAAAAATGAACCGGTGGAATTGGATATAAGATTTTTTTTTTAAAAAGAAGAAAATTTATTGACCGAGAAAAATTAGATGAAAATTTGAAAAAAAGAAATTACTTTCAGATCAACTGAGTTACATTCGTAATTACAAATAGAAACGAAATGAAAATAAAATAGAATTGATGTGATATAAATGATATAAGCTATTGATTGATATGATAATTAGTTATAAATGTGTGACTGAATAGTATCATTTTTTTTTGGTTAAAAAATATATATAGTATTTATTATTTTTTTTTTTTATATTTTAAGTATCTTAGTACCCAAGAGATGAGATGACTTGGTCTCTTCCAGCTTAACCAGTGGTCTCGTGTTTGAGTCCTGATAATGCAGCAGTGTTAAAACTCTCGAGGATGCAACAGTGTTAAAACTCTTGAGGGAGAGCTTTGCCGCCCTTGTGGTCATACCCGGCTCGATTTCGGATTAGTCGGTTCCCCTGTGGATCTGAAAACCGAAAGGTCCCTGTAAAAAAAAAAAAAAAAGAGTATCTTAGTGGGAATATAAAGAAAAATGAGACAGCAAGAAATAGTAATTTTTTATTAATAGTAGTTGTTGGAAAAAAATGATATCAAATAGGCTCTAGTTTTTTCCTTTATTTTCCTTTCCATTATTTATTTTCCTAAATAAATTTGAAGAAAATATAATAAATGATTTACCATTTGTTGTCTTTCCATTATTTTCTTTTCCATAATAAACTTTTTTTATAATTAAAATTTGTCATTTAGACCAAAGCTAAAACCCCACATCCCGTGGGCGATCCCTTGTAATAATCATAAACGAACAAAAACCTACAGAAAAATGGATACAAAATGGATACGGTCTGATTATAAGTCAATCTTGTTGAAATTCAAAACCCAATAGAAAAAGAAGCTCACCAACCTTTTCTTTTTGCCTCACAAAGGAAAATTTGAGTTTCGAAAGAAAGAAAAAAATTTGTTTGATGGATCGAAGATTCTTGTTCTTAGTTTTGCTGTGTTTACTTGTTCGATTTTCGCATGGGTACTTTCATTCTTGTTCTTATGTCAATGTGTGTTGTTATTCTTAATTATTGTAGAATGTAGATTAGGCTTAACTGATTTTCTTAAATTTTTGACCTTTTTTTGGGGTTTACAGCAGAAAAGACTCGATTTTGAGACTGCCCACTGATACTGCTTCGACTAAGTTTGATCCAACCCGCATCACCCAGTTAACGTGGACTCCCAGGTTTTATTTTTATCAAAGTTTGCATCTTTTAAGCCGTAGTTCGTTTTTTCCGTGTGTTTATGTCAGTTTGTGTGATGAATGTTCATATGGGTTTTGTTTGGTGTTGATTTTTTTACAGGGCCTTTTTGTATAGAAACTTCTTGACAGATACAGAGTGTGATCATCTCATATATTTGGTTAGTGTTTTATTCTTCATCTTCTTGTGTGTGTGTGTGTGTTTGTGTGTGTGTGTGTGTGTGTGTTTGATATATAGAAAAGGACTAACTAGTGCAAGATTGTATTTTTATTGTACTCTTGTGCTTCCCATTTGGCAATTGTTTGATTTCTTTTTATCTGTGTAATAAATTTCTGATTCGTCGCGATGAAGTTATTATTAGTTTGCTTATTACCATCTGTGATTAGGCCAAAGATAAGTTGGAGAAGTCAATGGTAGCTGATAATGAATCTGGAAAGGGTGTTGAGAGTGAAGTCAGGACAAGTTCTGGCATGTTTCTTGCAAAGGCCCAGGTCTGCAAAATTCAGACACTATGCGATGGTTCTTTTTATGTTATTAAATCGGGTGTGGAATTTTCTTTATTGCGAAATGGATATGCGATTTATAGCATTTGTATGTGAGCCTGTTTGTGGTTGCTGAACAATTGTTTGATTCCTTTGTATATGGGGATTTTTCAAAAGTTATCGACTCCTCTTATCTGTATGTGAGTGAATCTTTACTCCTTATAATACTTCTATGAAGTACGAAAGGAAATGGTTTTGTTCTAAAACGTAGAATTAGGCGTGCAATTATTATTTTTTTGATTCATGAGTGTGAATTGTTTGGAATCGTGATTTTGGCACACACTGGAAAGAAAGCTACATTCATTTACAATCTTAGAATCTCTTCATTGATTTGAGGAAAATTATAACTATTGTCTTCTAACTTGGGCACTATGATATAAAAAATCATAAATAAGTGCAGGATTTGTGTGATGCATCTTTTTGTTATTGGCAGTTTTTCATGTTTGTTATTAGGTTATTTTGTCGTGTATATGGAGATCATCAACACTGTGTGCACTTTATAATTTACATTATGAAGAAACTTTTGCTTAAGTATTAAATAGGATTTCTTTTTTCACATTTGTTCAATGGGTCAGATTTATGTCTTATAAGCTACTATCTGTTGAGGAGGTAAATGGATGGGTATTTTATGTAGATCATATAGAATTGATCATTACATTGCATAATTAATCTTTCGTATAATATCCTTGGCTCCCACTTTCATGGCTTGGAAGGCGAGTGAAATTATCACTCTTTTATTATGATGAATATGAATGTTTTTTTTTTTTTTAGGATGATATCATTGCTAATATCGAGGCAAGAATTGCTGCATGGACTTTCCTTCCGATAGGTACAATTTTAAACCAGCTTCGTTCGTTAATGTTCCACATCATTATTAATTTTTTTTGTTTTGTTTTGTTTTGTTTCATTCTATCAAAACATAACCTTTTTGAATATTATATGCATAGAAAATGGTGAGGCTATGCAAATTTTGCACTATGAGAACGGCCAAAAGTACGAGCCGCATTATGATTATTTTCACGATAAGGCTAATCAAAGATTGGGTGGTCATCGAGTGGCTACTGTGCTTATGTATTTATCAAATGTCAAGAAAGGTGGAGAAACAGTTTTTCCCGACTCAAATGTAAGATATACCAAATTTATGACAGTTAATTATGAATTTTTTCTTTATTTTTTTTTCACCCGCAAATGTATGTGCAGATGGAACAGCCTAAAGGAGATGACTGGTCCGAGTGCGCCAAAGAAGGCTATGCAGGTAGACATTATTTCACAGTGATATTTTGCTAACAATTTTTTTTTTTTTTTTGTTTTGTTGTTAGAAAAGATAAATGACTGAATGAGTCAAGGTTGTGTTGGTAAGTATATAAGCTTTATGTATACAAATAAGCTTCGTTTGCTAGGACGAGTTTTTTAAAAAGCTCGAGTTCATCTCATAAGATTCATAAGCTTCTTTGGCTAGCTTTTCAAGTAAGCTCGTTGAAATTTTTATTTTAGCTAGCTCATCAACTAATTTACCAAACACTTTTACCATTTTACCATATAAGCTAGCTCTTCAACAATAAGTCATAAGCTATCAGCTATGAACTCGAAATTCACTTAAGAGCTATAAGCTAGCTTATTAGCTAGGTTGACCAAACATAGCCCAAGACTGTTTCGAGATATCTTACATAATAAAATAAACAGCTTGACACCGATTTCGATTTTTATTTTTAAACAGTGAGACCACAAAAAGGAGATGCACTATTGTTCTTCAGTCTCCACCCGAACGCCTCAACTGACCCGACCAGCTTGCACGGCAGCTGCCCAGTCATCGAGGGCGAAAAGTGGTCCGCCACTAAGTGGATTCACGTTAGGTCTTTTGATAAACTGTCAGATGACGAGTTGTCAGATGACTCGTCAGACAATGGTGATTGTGTCGACAAGAACCCTAACTGTTCCATGTGGGCCCGCAGAGGCGAATGTAAGAAAAATCCCCTATACATGGTCGGCTCGAAAGATGAAGTGGGCTACTGTAAGAAGAGCTGCAATGCATGCTCGTCTTAGTTTAACACAAAGTTACTTTTTTTTTTTCTTAGGTTTTCGTTTCTGACAAAGAAAAGAAAAAAAATGGTAGGGTAAAATGTCGTGGGGTTATGAGATCTGTACTGAATAAATGTCGTTCGAGACATGTCAGACTATACTTTTTATGGTGATACTATGTTTATCTGAACATATACATGAATTTATCTTGGATGATGTTGAAATGATAACCTGGGAGATTTTACTATATTTAGCTGAATTTGTCTGCCTGAATGTATAGAACTTGCCAAAATTGGTGATTTGAATATCACAAAATCGTCACAAAATTGCAGATCTATTATTACTTTACCAGGTTAAATAAACTTAAGCCTGTTGTTTTCCTTGTACTTACTCTGTACACAGATTTTGTAAAGTTTGTGTCTTTGTGTGTATGTGTGTGTGTGTGTGTGTGTGTGTGTGTGTGTGAGAGAGAGAGAGAGAGAGAGAGAGAGAGAGAGAGAGAGAGAGAGAGAGAGAGAGCATGGCATATTTTTCCATATCATGTCAAACAGTTCTTTATTTCTGAATTGATTCTTCTGAAAAAAAGAAAAAAAAATCATGCAATTGTTGTTAAATGGGAGCCAAAAAGTACATGCATTTCATGCTCCTTCTCTTGTTAATTGGTAACCCCTTTAAAAAAAATGTATGCCTTTGAAGAGAAGCTCTTAATAAAAACACAACATTATATCATCACACTATTATTTACTTCAGTCCATACCACAACTTTAGTCTCTCTTCCCTGCACATCTTGCAGTCAAATAAATATATCATTCTCTTGAGGAAAAAAAGAAGAAGCAATTTCTCTTGTCCAATGGGAAGACCTCCGTGTTGCGATAAATCGAACGTGAAAAGAGGTCCATGGACACCCGAAGAAGATGCTAAGATTCTTGCTTATGTGGCGAGCCATGGAATCGGAAACTGGACATTAGTTCCTCAGAAAGCAGGTTCTTTTTTTTTTTTTTTTGGGACAGATAAATACTGTTTTATCCATTTTATCCATGTAAAAATTGTTTTCTCTGAGGTTGTTGTAACAGGTCTTAACAGATGTGGAAAGAGCTGTCGATTGAGGTGGACTAATTATCTTCGGCCGGATCTCAAGCACGATAATTTTACGCCCGAGGAAGAAGAATGCATTCTCGAGCTGCACAAAGCCATCGGTAGCAGGTCAGTTTTTACATTCTATTTTTTAATGTTGTCTTTTCTCTCTGATATTGTGAATAACTTTGAGATCATCCTACACTTAAATCATGTCAGATAAAAATCAAGAATATAACGAAGTTTTTTCGAAACTCTTTAGCCCTTCGAACTAAAACCTTTCCTTGTTTTATAAAGTTCAAGATCAGGGTGAAAAGAAGAATATTAACAACTAAATGATTATGTTCTTAAGAAAAAAGAACTTATAAAAATGCAAACGAAATGCAATTTGTGCAGCCATTAACATCACAGTCATGAGGTCATTTCAAGTTCACGTTCTTGCGACGATTTTATAAATTAACATGTAATATGTTTTTTTTCTTAAAAAAAAGTTATCAGTAACCATGAAAAGATTCACTAAGCTATTTTATTAATCTAAGCCGAACGAGCTACTTAAAAAAATATTCACTGTGTTCTTCATTCATTTTGTGTTATTATTTTCGTTTTAGATGGTCCTTAATAGCCAAAAGGCTGCCAGGGAGAACAGATAACGATGTAAAGAACTACTGGAACACTAAGCTAAAGAAAAAGCTTACTAAAATGGGAATTGATCCAGTGACTCACAAGCCATTTTCTCAGCTTTTCGCCGAATATGGAAAAATAAGTGGCTTCCCGATCGGGACCAGAAACAAAAACCCGTTTTTCCAAAATCGCGACATTTTGCGAAAAACAGAGGAATATTCCCCCAGCCATCATGAAATTGTTCTTCAGCCACATCTTTTCAGTGATGAGGCCTTTCTATCTCCAAATGGAGTCACGCGTTTTGCCTGTGGCCCACTCGGCACGTGTGGGCCCATCCAAGCCCAAATCATGTCTTCTTCGTCTTCTTCTTCCTCTTTAGAATGCAAGTTCATGAGGATGGTGTTAGAGAATGATGATCAGTCTGTATTTGTTGATCCTGTTCAAGAAGAAGAGGGACTTACTAGTAATTTTAAGGAGGATATAACAACATATGATCATCTGTCCAAGGAAAGAAAAATATCACGTGACGAAAATTTTGATTCCCGGGGCAATTTAGGAACAAAAAGCTCGTCTTGTGACGATTCGTTTGTCGAGGCTATCCTGGCGCACGATCGGGAAATGCGGCTTCAGTTTACCGACATTTTGGATGGGAATTACGATTATTGACTATGCTGTTTTCGTTCGGGACAATCGAGTAATCTCTTTTTTTTTTTTTTTTTTTTTCTTTCCATAATTGTTTCAGTTTAGGTGGGATTGTGAAGACAATGAGACATTTCATACACAAATGATAGATTATGATTATGGTGATGATGATGGTTTGAGTAATTGAATGTGTGCCTGTGTGTACTTCTGTTCAATATCAGAATTTCTGAAATTCAAATATGGACCTTACTTACACTAAAGTAATACTATTAGATTAAAAATAATATTAATCCAAACAAAAAATGGTTGCAAGTAGGGCTGTAAACGAACCGTACGTTCGTGTTCGATGAAAGCTCGTTCGTTTGTTAATCGAGACGAGTTCGAACATAAAATTAAGCTCGTTTAATAATCGAACAAACACGAGCTCGTTCTCGAACGTTCGATAATGTTCGCTGACATTAATTTAATATAATTTTATTTTATTTTTTATATATTTACAAAATATTTTTAATAAAAAATCAAAAATATAAAATATTTTTATTTTTTTTTTATTTTCGACTTCGAACGAACAAATTTTGAAATAAAACACATTTAAAAAGTTTATGTATTAAGTTGTTCGAACTCGAACTTTGACGAACAATTAAAAGAACGAGTTCGAACACATATTTTGCTCAAAAAATAAACAAATAGACACAAACATTGTTCGAACGTAAACGAATCCGAGCTCGAACAACCCAAGTTCGGTTCGTTTGCAGTAGTAGTTGCAGGGTAAATAAGTCACAACAAACTACTAAAAATCTAGATGAGTTACATCTCTAGTTATTGATCCTAACTAAAAATAAAATAAAATGTGGCACAAAACACAATGTTCCTCCTTTAGACCAAAGGGTAATGCGTGACAAATAGGAAATATAGTGAGGTCCCATTATTTTATTTTATTTTATTTTATTTTATTTTTTTGCCATAAAAATGAACACGCCGAAATAAAGGGACCAATATCAATCAATTCAAAGCTACAAGTAAAATTTTTATATATATTTTTTTTTTCTTCTATCAAATTCTTATTTGAGTAGCCTTAATATTGACCTTCTTAAACACACTCTCCTCACAAGGAAATAAGAAAAGACATAAAAAATTGGACAGATAATTTGATGAAAGAGTGAACATGAAGGTTGTGTGTTCTGTTTTGTCAATTTGCTTGCTATGTTCATTGCTTTCTTTGAGCTTAGCCAACACGAACAACAGAAGAGAGATCATTGCATTATCATCGAACATGGAAATCGAGAAACACGGGCTTTTTCGGAAGCTCGAATTCAACTCTGTCAGCAAGAGAAGAGTTCCTAATGGGGCTGATCCTATTCACAACAGGTATACATGAGAACCAGTTAACATTTCAATCATGAAAAATATGACTTGGTTTATTTATGATCATTGTTATTTTCCTTGTTCCAGAAGGGTAGGGACAACTATACCACCACCAACATAGCGCGCGACTAAAATTATTTATCCGAATCCCGGCATAAATGAAATAGAGCCGATTTTTTTTTTTAATGAAGTTTTCGTGTGTATATTGTGAGACGAAGATGAGATCGATCGTGAGTTCATGTATCGCGTTAACTCCGACTTATAGTACTATTTGGTAAGATAATCCATGCAAGTACTATTTTATGTTTTTTT